CAGCGAAACTTACTGAAGACTAAAGTAGCAAGAAATTATTGACCAACTAAACCAAATAGATTCAACTAACTAGATTTTACCCAGATAAATCCACAGCAATAACTTTTAAAACAATCAATGCCTTCAGATACATATCAATACGTCAGGTGGATGTTGGCATTTAAAATGTGGTTTTGAAAAAATCTAAAAAAAAAAAAAAAAGAAAAAGAAAAATTTAGTAGCAGAAAAAAAATATTCTTGTTACTTAGCTGCCACTGAGAAAGTGAACAAATTGCCACAATTGTTCTAGAAATTGTAACGGGGGTATTCATAACAAAGTTTAAAAAGGTTTAAAGCCAGTTTTGATATTTTGAGGTTGCTGATGTTTCCATCAAGCCATCACCTACTGAACCATAAACTGGTATTTTTAGTTGAATTTACTGCTTTTGAATTTTATAAATGGCAGAATCTATCAATACCTGGCACTTCTAAAGTGGTTTTCTGTGTTAAATTGTAATGACTTAAATGGAAAAAGTCAATCTGTTTGACAGTGATTACCTGTCTTTTAACCCTATGTTAAAAACAAAATGCTCCACAAATCCCTTTGTTGACACTTAATAATAATAATAATAATAATAATAATAATAATCAAATCAATTTAAATCACTCTGGATTTGATTCAGTATTAATGTTCCAGTGAACGGCTCGACTGTAATGCACCATGGAGTTCATATCAGGTTTTCAAAAACTGTGCAGAAGTTGGTGGAGAATTACAAATACTAAACTATGCAAAGTTTTGAGAGTGTTGACCGATCGCTAAGTTTTCATTAAACATTTCCATTGTCAATTGGAGAAAGGTTGCCATCAGAGTACAGAGAAAGGTCGGCAATGACGCATCGGCCCCTGGTGGCCCCCAGCTGGAATGAGGAGAGGCCGGATTGATAGAGAACAATGCAGTGAGGCAGGAGATGCATCCTGGATTATGACTTTGAATGTTTGCATTTTACCTGATGCTGATGTTCTTGACATTAAATCTCTTATATTGTTCAGCTCAGACCAACTAAAAATTGGAGACTCTGATTGTGTAAGCGGAAATACTATTTAAGGAGTTGTTTTTGCGAAAGGATTTTGGCACCTCTCTAGGTCAAACTGACCTGACTCCTTTCCTTCCATTTGCGTGCAAAGCGCAAATGGAACCAAAAAAGGACTTGGAAAGGATGTCTGGACAGATAAGAACAACAATTTGAGATAAATTGTCCTATTCAGCAATTCTGAAATGGAGCAGATGTTGAGTTCATGAGGTCTCAAATATTTTTAAAGGTCGTCCAACACACACTTAGTATAAGGCACGGCAGAATCTTTACGCAAATCAAGGGTAGCAACGCCATTGGTTGAAACTTTCCAAACTCACATCAGTGAAGATGAGAGTGTATAAAAAAGGGTGATGTTAAGAATACGGGGAGATTTTTTGTTGAGACTTTGGAAGATTTTTGAGTATTGAACTGATGAAACTGTAATGAGGAATCCGTGGTAGTGTAATAAATCTCCGGCTCGTCTATGGCCTAGCAGCAAGAATTACATCTCCGTGCGTTATTTCTTTTACATTGAAGAGTATAGCCACCTTTCAATTCTCCAATATTTATTTCCAAAGGTACAATAACATCCACCTCCCTCTTTATCATGCTCAATCTGCATTTTATTTTTAAGTTTACTTAGGTTCTCAATAAACTACCAACAACTTTAAAAAAAAATAGATGGAACATAAAAAAATAAACTGTTTTCATCCCTTCTATTTTTATGATGTGTCTTATAACATCTGTTGAATGAGAACCAGATTATATCCTTGCTGTATTTTTAAAGTTCATCAAAGAAATTCACTGGTGGGAATAATCCCTGAGCTGTCTTGATAGATTCCCATCATCCCAGCTGTGACGTCCCTAATCCTTGTGCAGCCTACAGAGAAGCTTCAGCACTATTCAGTGACAGATGATGACGAACGACATTTAATCATTTGTCTTACAATGCAGCCTTCAGAATTACACAACAACATTTGGTACATTTGTTTATCAACGGGGGATTTTGTTTCTTTGTTTTTTCACAGTGTGAGAAATCAATTTTACATTTCAAACTGCCAACAGCTTAATGTGTGTGCGTATCCCCAGGCGTAGAGATGTTTCACAGGAAGCCCTGTTTTTTTTACGATTTCCACTGTTGGGTAATTGACTATGGATGCTACGAGTTGCCCCTTGTATTTGTCCTGAGCCCTGACTTAAGATTTAGTGTGCAGATGCCGTCCTGTGGACTTCAAGTTCCCACTCATAATCCCCCTGTGTATTTGTTAGTTAAGGTAACACATCAACAAAAACAATTCAAAACATGAATTTAAAGGTGCATAACTACAGGTGCAAGCCATAATTAGATGTTTTTCTATCCTCATTGATTTCTGATCAAATATTTGATTTCCACATGGTTTCAGTGTTTACAATACAAGACAAGCCAAAGAAACAACAACAACATAGGATTATAAAAAGTTATGTTGATAGATATTCAAATTACCTTCCTTTTAGCCCGGAGTTGTGCATGATAGTTTTCAGATGAGTCTCCTGGGATCTCACTTCCCCACAGCGACACTCCAATTACGGTGTAAGTGATGCCCATCACAGCTAACGGCAGCACATAAACCAGGACAGTAACTATGATGTGATACCTGGACAAATGAAGACAAACATTACCAAGACGCCCCAGAGCACGTGACGGACAACATGTCAAAAGGGAGAAGGACAGATCTGCTAAAACTGACAGTCTCCTAGCAATTCTAATAATGATGATTGCCGTGAGTGTGACCTCACATGAAGGGGTCGTCCACCATGCGGGGCCAGGCCACATAGCAGAAGGTCCTCCCTGGTAGAGTTCTGGTGGTGGAGAAGTAGCAGAGAGGGAAGGCAAGAGCCACGGCGAGGGTCCAGATGCAGAAGATAACTCCTAGTGTGACTTTAGCAGACAGACGAGGCTTCAGAGGATGGATGATGGCCATGTATCTGTTTGTTGGACATCACAATACACAAGAGAACTGTGGTCAAAAGTGAGCACAACACTTCTAAAAGTGGACTTTCTGAAACCTGAACATAGGTTGTCCTCCACTGCCTGTCCAAAATAACGTTGCCACCTGAATTTAGCAACGCAAACAGGTAAGAGTTTACCTTTGGACTACTTTCACATGGGCGTTGATGTTTCAGATATTTACCTTGAAATGGTGCAGTGATTAGTTTTTGATTTCTTGACGAACTAGAGACTTATCCTGTGTTTATAGAAAAGATGTTAGCTGATTTCAGAACTGTAAAATTACTGGCATTAATCATGCAAAGAAAATATCCAACAAGAATGCTGAGACTATTAAAACTAGGCAAGGGATTGCCTGTAACTTATGATAAGGCTAACGATTAAAACTGGAAGGATAGAGGGAAAATAATCATCTGCATTGATAACAAGGGCCTGGAAATACTGAAACAACCAATATTTACCAATGTTATTTATAGGAAATGATAGGATCGTATGAAAACATCCTTTTCAGGTCAGAATGACTTGGAACATTACCATCACCAATTACTAAAATGCACAAACAACATAGTTATTCCCCAATAACTCATAAACTAAATCTCAAGAAAACTGATGTTAACTTGGTCCAGACTGACTGAGTTTGAGACACTTTCACAGAAATCGGAGTTAAAATTATTTTTTCTTGATGTACAAAATTTTTGGTTTCTTGGTTTAGTTCGTAAGAATAAATGTACAAATCTAAACATAAAACACAGAAATGACAAGATGTACTTCTTTCTCTACTAAGTTGTGGAAAGAATAGGCAGATTGTGATTTATTACTGTCAAGACGTTAATTGATGTGACCTACGATGAAATATGCTGAAAGAAAACGTTTTTTATTTGGTCAGAGTTATCACATGCACAGTCCAATCAACTACGGATAAAGCACACTGTGAATTGTCTTGTGTTGTCCCACCTGTCTAAGGCAATCGCGGCCATGGAGTAGATGCTGGCAAACACAGCCGTGACCGGGAAGAAGTTGTGAAACCTGCAGTAGACGTCTCCAAAGTACCAGTCACCGTGGGCCGCGTAGATGAAGTTGATGAGGGTGTTGAAGGCAGCCATGGAGAAGTCAGAGAAAGCCAGGTTCAGTACGAAATAGTTCGTGACAGTCCTCATCCGCTTGTGAGCAAGAATGATCCAAATTACGATCAAATTGCCGAAGACGGCCACTGCCAGCACCGTGACGTATGCCACGGACCAGAGCGCGATGCGCCACGCGGGCTGCGCGAACTGGTTGGCCAAGACTCTGCTGGTGGCCGTGGTGGTGGTGTTGGAGCCATCCCGTTCAGGGGCCATTCCCCCGAGGGTCCTCAGAGGGATCTCCTGCTCCGAAATGACTCTGATGGGAAGGAGAGAGTGGTCCTGATGCTTGGAGAGCAGCGCGGCAGAAATGGAGTGGGCGTACCCCACGCGTTGTGAGTTAAAAGGGGCTTAGGTGGGACCTGAGGGAAACGCATCATAAATTACTCCCCTCCCTTAGCCCCCTCACACAGTCCTAAGAATAAATCCTCCAGTCATTATGTTTTCATTGTCCAAACACAGATCGTTTATGTCTCAGAGGTGACTCACTGATAATTTCTCGTTTCAAAAGAAAAGCTGGCAAGCTTTCATTCCAGGGTTATAAAACGATTATTCCCTGTCCTAAAGGCATCTGAGGTGTTAGGGGTTGCTCTGGATGTGATACTGTTAATCCTTTGGCAAAGCTCAGATATGTGGGGTTTTATGAATGCTGGTTATATAATCATAATCTCACTGTAGAGGGGGGCCTTTTGGTGCATGGAGCACATGATGAAAGTCCTTGGTTTATTCTGTCTTGGAATGTTTCTTTTAAAAGAGAAACTATTTTTTAAAAGAGGTTTTCGTGGCACTGGTGGCTTTTATTTAGTAGTTGCACAGGAGGGACGGCAAGGAGAACATTTTGAAGACGTGCAACAAATGATCAAACCGAGGGCTACTGTGTTGTGAACTGAAACCTATGCATGGTGCAACTGCTCTACTGAGCCATGTAGCGCTCTAATCTAATTTATACATAAAAACATCCACAATGTGATTTCTGCGATTCACATTTTGCCATGACAACAGATAAGGTGTGTTACTGTGCTGATAATCTGTTTGCTTGGATTAAAACTGCTGATTCATTAAAACTTCAATTTAATTATTTGACACAAAACTTATATTTACAAATTATTGAGTATTCTCATTAGAAAAATGTAGACTGAAAGGATATCATAAAGATCCATCTTTACACCAACAATGTAAACATGCGAACACTTTTAAGTAGTTGCTTATAATGAAAGTGCATAAAGAGAATCAGAAGGTCAGGCTGACATGAACAATTCATGCAATTCAGGTGGAGAGCTCTCCTCATCTTAGTGCGTCTAAAATCCTCGCTGGAGGTTTATATAAACAGAAGATTAAGTTCAAGCGTCAGTCACATGAGTGAGGATTACCATGCACAATGTGAACTCTTGTGCCTTTTTCTCAACTTAGTGACATTTATTGTTGCTGTTGTAAAATAAAAAAAGGAAAAAAATCACAAATTAGTGCACAATTACTTCAAATGACACAAATTTACAACAGTAACACCCATGTAGTCTGATAAACACAAAACCAAACTAGCACAGTGAAAGGACAAACTATGTCTGGAGATCACAAAGCGCCACCAAAAACACACACAGAACAAAGATGCAAAAACTATAATAAAGAATATCATAATGCAGACAGAAAAAACTGAAAAGCATCAGAGAGATGACAGAATGAATGTGAACGCCTTTACTGTTGCATCTTTGTCACGCAGCCTGCAGAGTCCCACGGCCCCGGGGACCACAAGGTGTTTTAATCACCTGCACAGTCTGCAGATGTTGGGGATTTTACATCAAACCTGCCCTTACCTCTCATGTTCTTTCGCTGGAAAGCATCTTAAAATTAACCAATTAATCAACACTCCACAAGAGGTGATATGTGAAGTATTTTTAATCAAATTTTAATTTAATCGTATTTTAAGTAATTTTATCTTTTGTTGAGCACTTTATGATCCTATTTAGTGTCTGTCACACAGATTATTCTGTTGGTTTTCTGATGTTTCAAACGGCCAATTAGTGAAGTTTTTACCCACTGAGCTTGTTTTAATGAACCTCCATTGTCAGTCCATCTCCTGTCAGATCCGGGTTTCACAGTCTTTCCTTTTTCTAAAAGCTGAAATCACCTTTTATCCGCCACTTATTTACTGCTAGGAACATAAATCACGCAAGCTGTGCCCACTGTGAAAAGACCACAAGAAGGTCAGAGAGTGTTTTCCTCCCAGCATGGTCTCATTACGCAGAGGCCACTTTGCTTAGACCACTCCCTGTCTCAAATGTCACTGTTCGAGCCGCATCCAAACATGCCCTGTCCTCCATATTAAAAAGGTCACTGTCTGCCAAGTAACAGATGATCGGATCATTAGCCTCACCTAAAATGATTCTCCTTGGCTTATTTGTGAATAATTCAGGTATAATTTAATCAAAGGCGGATAACAGCGAGGCACAGGGTGGGCTGTTGTGCTCTGGGTTTGATTTGTGTGTGAAATTAACTCTTAAAGAGCAAGTCACATTCAATAAGTTAGGATTTTAATGAAAAGTTCATGCATTTCTTTAACTCAGCTCACAAGTAAAACACATTATGTAGACAAATTACACACAGACTGAAGTTTTAAAGCTTTTATTTCTGAATGATATATTGCATCAGACCAGTAAAAAAAATAAAACCTTTTTAGGTGGGTCTAGTGAAAAATATGTTTCATACCTGCTTAAAGGTACTTTGAATCTGACAGACAAGCTTCACTGGAACCCTTACTCTAATTTACTGAATATGACTGTAACATAAACAACAAAATGCTCACATTTGTTCACAAACGCTAGCAAAAAAGTAATATTTGATGAGGTTCTGAACATTTTTTATTATTTAGACGTGTCTGTCACAGGAAACCGCAGTAAATTACAAAGAGCTTTGTGTCTGAGATTTGAAACAATATAAAAAAAAGTTTAAGTGAGTATACTTGTAAGTCACTATTTATTATGCTTTAGTCATTAATGGTTGTGGCTGCAGCATTACAAAAAGTGAAAAAGTTCAAGAGGAATAAATAGATATTAAAAGGAAGTATAAATTCTACCAAAAAAATTAAGATCATAAAAAAAAAAAATAATTCTTCTGCTTTATCTCATTGTTTCACTTCATTTTTGTTGTTCACATTATTGGTTGGGAAAATGGCTTTTTGTTGTTTTTATTTGAATCAAAACAGATTCTGCTGAAGCAAATGAGCGAGGAAGAGAAACAAAGAGAGAGAAAGCAGCTTCCCATCAGGGGATGTCCCCAACAGGATTACACATCTATAAAAAGAGTTGGACTTGTTTCTCCTGGGAGAAGGGGTAGGGTTAGTACAGAAGAGAGAAGAGGTTGTAATGAACAGAGACATCTGAGAGTTGTGAGGTAAAGCACCTTGTTAAGGAGTTTTAAGACATTTAAAAAAACAATAATTTAATTAATCTGAAGTAGCATGTAGATGTAAAAATATGGAAATTCTGATTGTGGTCTTGAAGCATGTTAATGCTTAAGTGCATTTTAAATTATATATATTAGTTGGACTCCTGACTGTAGGCTGTGTAAATGTCCAATAGAGTTTGCTACCACAGAGTACAGAAAAATAACATAGGAACACAATTAACTTCTTGTCAGGTAATGCAATGAGTGATGGTGGTTGACGTAAGAGCAGTTTAGAAAATAAATCCCAAACTACTACAACTCTGCTGCTTTGCTTTTGTCGTTGCGGTGTCTCAAAGTTACACTGAGAGCGACTCCTGCTGGTCTGGCAGGAAAAATAAAAAGAGGGCGAGTTTCTGTTACATCACAAAATGTTCTGCCGTATGAAACTTGAGCTGTTTGAAAATAAAGAGGAGGGCCAAGGGAATGAGGAAGACACAACACAAGAAGTGGTGTTGCTAGCTTACAATTGGAGCACCATGCGAGCGTTTAGAGGCAGTCATGCAGGCGGTGTGGTTTGTTTTCAGCTCTGCTTGTGCCGCCGATTCAAAGTTCAAAGGTTGCTGTAGTTTAGTGAATAGCTGACAGGGCTGAAAACTCTCAGGTAAGCCATGCAGTCTTAATATTTATCCTGTTTATGTTTACTGTTGGCCATTTTGAGACAGGAAAAACAACACTTTGCTTCAGTGAAAGCCTTCATTAGATGACAGAAGCATTCTGCTATGCTTCTGTCATCTGAATGAGCACATTTGTGCTCATTCAGAGGAGAAAGTCCAGATGCCAACAGACTGTTGGCATCTGGACCAACGGTCGTCAGGTCCTGACGACCAGGTCGTCAGGTCCTGACTCCCTGACGACCTGGGCGTCAGGACCTGGTCGTCAGGACCTGGTCGTCAGGATCTGACGACCTGGTCGTCAGGACCTGGTCGTCAGGACCTGGGCGTCCTGACGACTACACAATTATCCTTTAAATACTTTAGCAAAAGGTGGGAAAGTGGAAACATGTTCAACAGCTGTCTAGAAAGGCAAGATTAACAGCTGAGATTTTTTTTTAAGTATATAAGCACTTTTAAAGTTTAATAGTTGTATTAGTCACTTACACCCAACCCCCTTCTCGGAAGTCTTTCTGAACGCCTGCAGTTTTCATTGATGACTCTCAGACTGTGAGCAAAACTCTCAAACTTAAACCTAACAACTTAAAAATTCCCCTAAAAATGGGAGTTTACAAAACTTCAAAAAAAAAAGGAGAAGGCAAAAGTAAAATGATAACGAGTTTTTGCTCAGTCAGATTGCAGAAAAGCAAGGCTGAGATGGTTGCTTCACGATACTTTGAAGTAACTGCTGGGAATGCTGACAGATAAATGTCCTCAGCTATGTATTGGGACTGAACTGCACTACAGTGCCTTGCAAGTGGATTCGTACCACTTCCAATTCCTGAACTTCCACAGTGTTCAATGTATCTCATTATACCAACACCAACATGGAAGGAAAGGATAAATGGCAGCGTCTATTAAAAGTTGCACTTGAAAATCAACTGTTGAACATACTGGGCCCCGTTTGTTAATGAATGACCTTTTCTGTTTGGAAACTTGCAGATCATGTTTGCTGAGTTTACTTAAAGGTTTTTGTGTCATTTATTTAGTCAAATCATTAACTCACCGTCATCCAGCTAAACTTTAGCTCTTTCCAGCCCCATTTCTGGAAGGACTCCATGCCTGCCAACACCTAACTAACATCACGATTATTGTATTGGGCCCAACAGATGGAGCGCACCTCTGTCCCACCAATACACAATGTCGCCATTTGCGGTGGAACCCACGGGAATGAGTTGACTGGGGTGTACATTGTGAGGGAAATGCAGAAACAGAAGATGGAGAAAGCGGGGTCTGTTTCTGTAACCACTGTCGAGACCAATCCAAGAGCCGTGGCTGCTGGCAGACGATACACAGAGATGGATCTGAACCGCTGCTTCACAGATGTCTTGCTGAGGTAAGCCAGCTGTCCACGTGAGTCCTGTGCGCTGCAAATTTGAGAAGTCTGTGTTGTGTCCACTGCTTAAATCGCTACGCTGCTCCAAGTTCCCCCATAACAGAGTCAACCCCGTATGAGGTGAGGCGAGCCCAGGAACTGAACGCTCAGCTGGGGCCCAAAGGAAGCGCAGAGGCTGTTGACCTGCTCATAGACCTGCACAACACCACTTCCAACATGGGCCTGTGCTTAATCTTCTACTCCATAGATTGGATCACTCTGCACATTTACAAGTACATAGAGGTATGAACTCAGACACACACACACACACACACACAGCGTCCTAATCTAAATGGTAAGAATACAACAGACCGCGTGTCTATTGTAACCCTAACCCTAAATGGTGGCCATAACTAATACATGAAGAAGAAAAAAAAATAGGCGATCCTGTCTGTAATCCACAAGATTTTATATTTTAAGGCTAGTTATTGACTCATTATATTATACTAAAATCATAGAAGATAGTTTTTAGAGCCACTGCAGGATGTATGATAGGTTTTTAATCTGTAAATATCAATTTTTCAGAATAACTTGAGCTCTGTGCCTGTGAGAGCGATACAGCTGGACATTCCCAGCTCCAAAGCTTATTCCCTGGAGTCAGTGGGCAAACATGGCTTTGGTAACTATGTCAATATTCATTATGTGAAAGATTATCTTCATTAAGCTGGATTTCTGAGACAAACATTGCTTTGTTGCAGCGATAGAAGTCGGCCCGCAACCCAACGGTGTGCTCAGAGCTGATATCTTCAACGTGGTGAAAGAAGCATTGGATCTCACATTACAGTGGCTTCAGAAATTCAGTTCTGGTAGGAAGCAATGCAGGTTGCTTTCTTTCTGTTTTTAGTTGAGCAAATAATCTCTGCATAACAAAAGTCCTAAATCCTGCTCTTATTTTTGATTGCGTTATATTAATTAGACACATTACTCAGTGATTTATTTTCCTCTGCCAACAGGGCACAGCTTTGAGCGCGGCACAGTGGAAGCATACACTTTTGTTAAAAGTGTTGACTACCCACGAGACTCGGCTGGTAAAGCCACTGCTGTCATCCACCAAAACCTACAGGTGAACTTTTGAGGCTTTTAAATCCAACAATTTACCTTTGAACTTAATGAAAAACTGAGGCTCTTTAGAAAACCAGTGAAGTGAAAACATGCATGTATAATTTTCTCTCTTTTTTTTTTTTTTTTTTTTTTAGGATAATGACTTTAAGCTTCTGCGATCAGGGGATCCCATCTTCCAGACATTTTCTGGGGATATTTTGAAGTACGAGGGAGAAGACCTCTACCCTTTCTTTGTGAATGAATGCGCCTACTACGAGAAGAAGATTGCTTTCCATTTAGCTCAGAGAAAAACGTACAGCTTTCCACCCATAAGCGTGAAAAACGACTGAGGGAAGACAAAGATAACACGAGTACATCAATCACCTTAAGAAAAAAACACAATGGAGCAAAAGATGGAAGTCAGGAATTTGAGTTTATCTGTAACACCTGATAAAATGCCTTGCAAAACTAAAAATATTTATAGCCTTTAAATCTTTTCTCATTTTATCTTGTGATAAATTTCAGGTTTTTTTTATTCTGGTCTTACATGATAGACTTGTACAAAGAAGAGCATAATTATAAAATGGAAAGAAAATAATGCATGGATATTAAAATTTCTACTTTAATTAAAAATCTAGCTAGTGTGACTTATATTCAGCGCCCCTGAATCTGTATTTTGTCAAGCCACCATTTGTCATGACAGGAGCAGGTATCCTGAGCTGCCTTTAGGGGTGAGCAATGTAACGTACATTTCATTATTTTTCCTAGTATTTATTGCAATAACAAAAAATGATTATTGGCCAATATTAATTATGGAATGACAGAAAAATCCCTGCTTGTAAAACAGAATCTGAACCTTTTTTTTTTCCATCACTCTTTCAATATTACATTATCATCAGTTGTGCCCAAACAAAATAAATGGAAGCATTACTTGTGTATTTCTGATGATCTTCTTAGAAGCATGTGAAAATTGTCTTGACACATAAAAGAAAAATATCTACATTAATGCACATTCCATGAATTAATTTACTTTAAGTTGTGGAAAGTGCATTAATGTATATATTAAGTCGTAAGTCATACAATGTGCTTTATTGTAACGCATGGAGTTTTAGTAGTAGTATTCTGCTCTAAATGGTCAGAATGGAAGCACATCTGCACAGAAATGTAAAGTTATCCAAATTTATTCAGATATTTTCCATTTGCAAAAAGTAAAGCACCATCTCTGCATTCAAATTTTAAGCTAATGAAAATCGACAAAATTCCAATAAAAGTAACCAATTGTCAAATTTATTTCACATAGCAACAATACAGTATTACGTTTCAGAAGATGAAAAAGTTTTCAAGAAGTCTCAATACGTATAACTCGACATACTGACAGGAAACGCTTCAGTTAAAGATGTCAGTTCAAAACAAAGTCACAATTTATTTTCTGACACCAGAGTGAAATGACAAATTCTTGCTTATTTGAAAATGTAACATAGTTAAAACACCTCTGATCAATGTGAATTATCAACAAAATGTTTCATACAGATATTTTGCGCATTTTAATTTAGTTTTTAGTTTTTTTTCTCAAATTATCTTGTAAAAAAAAACCAAAAGCATGAGGATTCTGTGCTAATGTGCTCAAAAGTGAATATAATCAGATCATCAGATAATTTCATGTCCTGGACTCTTTTTCAAATCTTACCTGACCAATTGAATAAAAGCCAGATCCTAACTCTGCCCCCTCATGGTAGACACAGGGCATGACTGGGGCGACAACTTGGCAACAATAACCCTGATTTATGTCCTTCACTCTGTAACAGAACAAATAAATCATCAGATAGAAAACGAGAAAAGATTCAGCTGGGGAACTGAAGCCTATTTTCTTATTTTTCCTATAGTGATTCCCTTCCCTTTAAAGTTGTAAAGAACTTTAAAGGGAATAACATAAATTGTCCTCACATGGTATAAAAATATTAAGTATTGCTTTCAGTTTTGAAATTGTGCTGTTTTCTAAACACTTTCTTTCTCCAAAAATACAAATGGACATGTTTTGAGTCAATGTTAGTCTTTTTTTTTCTTTCCCTGATGAAGGCAAATTTATTTCTGAAAAAAAAAAAAATGTTGGTTGAAGAAATCAGAATCTGGTCACTGTGCAAATCAGTGAAATAATGAGCCAAATAAAACAATTACTGGAGTTGTTCACTCTGCTACTTTGTATTGCAAAAGTATTATTACCCTCAAAACTTTCACATTTTGTCAGGTTACAATCACAAACTCCCAGTCAAGAGCTAAGATGTATTGAATTAAATACAAGGCCTTTCTGGGTGAAATCCCGTGAGAGGCTGCAAAAGATTTTAAATTGGAGCAGAGCTACAACTTCCAGCATGACAACCAGCCTAAACATACGACCAGGAACAAAACTGAATGGAAATGGACTAGTCAAAGTTCAAAACTAAAGAAAAGACAAAATTGGCTCTTCCTAGATGTATCTAATCAGAGCTTGGTGTTTTCCAAAAATAGAATTGGCAAAACTTCGTAGATTTTTAAGGCTGGAACAGAGATACCCCCAAAAGAATTGCAGCACCGACAAGAAAGCTGAGGTGCTTATGTAAAAATATTGTATCAATTTACTTTTAGCTTTCCATTTATGCACTGGTGTTCGTCCAAAAATCGTGAGTTCTGTGATTGTAAGGAGGCTGAATGTGCAAACTCAAGGGTGTAGATACTTTTGTAAGGGGTCTTACATCAAGGATGGGTCCTTTTCTGAGTTTATGGCCAGGCAAACTGTGAAGATAAACTGCAAAATTCGACAAACTCCAATAAAACCAACATTGAACAACTGAGAAAGCAACTGTTTAGACAGCTTTTAACATTTAAACGGCAGTAGTAGTAACTGAATTTCCTGAACGCATTTAATAGATTCAGCTTGTTACAAAAACAACACAATAAAATTGGTAATTACGCTGCATCAGTACACACAAGATTCATCAATATCAATGACAGCAGAAGGTGAGTGGTTCCACTTTTAGACTGTGGCATTTTATGACATTTAGTCATTTTACCACAGACCAAAATAAAAAAAAAAAATAAAAATACCACAGATGATGGAAAGGTCAACCCAAATGACATGCAAAGCCTTGATATTTAAAAATGATGCAAAAACAAGACAAAAAAGTTAAATAAAGGTGCACCAGACTCTTTTTAGTAACAGAAACAACTACCTTGATTTGGACCATAAAAGTCCACATCTAAAAGTCAGATAGTGCAAGTTTACACAGTTGTATCCGAGTTAAGGACAATATGGTGAGCAGCTGGAAAAGCATTGGCAACAAAAAGAAGGCAAATGGCAAAATAAAAAACCCAGCAGAAACAAATATAGCACAAAAACCTAGAAGCTAAAAATATGCAACATCAAGATGATGTACAACTCAGTAATGGGGTTAAAAAAAAACAAAGGCAAAGGTGATATAAAGCCACACGAAATGTTTCAATGTGTTTATGAGTACGTATGGATTGGCTGCAGCTGACGCTTAAACCTGTGATACCCTGAACTATTTCTGCATTGCAAGACTGCTACAGTGGAAGTGAGAAGCTACGACCTGAACATTTTATTGAACTACAACCACAAATTGTTGGAAGGAAGGTTGTAGACCTACTTGGTTATCGTAAAATATACTATCCCTGTCTCTTTATGCAACCCTATATGCGGTTATGCGGGTGTAGTGTTTGCGGTGACTTCTGGCCGCCCACAGGAACAGAGCGGCGGCCATCATCTGCAGGGGGAAGGAGATGAGGGCCAGGTAGAGAGACCACCCCATTGACCCGACGACATCTCCCGGTTTTCTGTATTCGCCGTTGAGCTGATCCACGCTGATCCGAAAACAGCAGACAGTTCCCAAAGAGCAGAGGCCTGATAACAAGACGAGACAACAGCCGAGCAGAAGGATGAGAAATAAAGATGCTGTTGATTACCATCATTATCTTCAGCTTGTCACAGGGCTTAAAGTAAAAACAACATCCTGAAGCTGAAACTTTGCTTTGTGGTAGTGATAAGAATGAAACCATAACACACTGTTGTACGCCTACCAGAAATGGCCTTTGAAAAGTGTAAAGAACTGCTTAATAACAGCACAACAAAAAAAGAAAACTTCAAGTATCGATGCCCTCAATGAGGCTCCAAAGTGTTTGGACTCAAAGGCAAAAAAAGGAAGCATCTGTGCAGCATCATAGTAAAAAAAAAAATCAAAAAGACTCACCACCACATTCAACAGACAATTTACAAGAAATTTAAAAAAATCAACATTAAAATCTAAAGAAAGTAGTTACACAGAGCTGGTTTGAGAATTTTCTGGTTTTCCTGCTTCTTTAAATGTTCTGGTTTATAAACAAAGTCCTGTAAGCAATACAAATAATTTATTTTCACATTTTGGATGGATTTGAGAAAACCACAACGGCTGCTATACTCGAGGCTGCAGCAGGGAACGTCAGTCTGGTTGATCCAGTAGTTTTGGTCAGTGCAGAGCAGGAGTCTGCAACCTTTACAACCAAAAGAGCAGTTTCTGCTCTCAGGTCAGCCAAATAAAACTCACTTAGAGTCGCAACTGTGTTTTTTTGAATGAATGAATGAATGAATGAATAAATAAATAAATAAATAAATAAATAAATAAATAAATAAAAATACAGCTTATATAGATAAAAGTCTACTCAAATAAATTTGGTGTCATTTCAAATAAACAATTTTCTTTAATTCTTATAATTTAAAATATAGAGAAATATAACATTTTGCAGAGAGGACAGATAATTTTTCTGTAGAATGAAAAATGTAAAAAACAAAAAAAAACAAACAGATTCAATTCTAATGAAAAAAAAAGTAGAACTGAAAACATAGTGGCACTTTCAGTGTAATTCTTTGTGGACATTCAACACCAATATTGCAAGAAAAAAAAAACGGACAAAACCTGCATTTATTATATCTTAGATTAAATGCTATAGAAGATTGGAAAGAGTTACAAAATTATCCATCTCAACTCAACATTAAGATAAAAATACAGCATTTTAACAAAAGGGTACACCTGAGGATCAACAGGATAGGGACGCATTTCTCTCACCTGCGATAAAATGGAACAATCCCACAACCAGGGTTGGCGTGAAGCTGCGGCACAGGCAGGCACAGACCCCAACCAGACCACTGAGAAACACCAGAGACAAAGACACCAGGGGCAGCAGAAACTGGCACCTCCACAGATCTGAACAAAAAGACAAAGATTCACCATTCAGAGGTTTGTCAAATTAAACCAACCACTGAAAACAGTTTGGAGGACAAATCAACTACTGCAACAAAAATCAAAAAAAAAAATTTGTTTTTTTTTATCTTTGAGGCAGGGTTGGGTATAAAATTAAAACTTCAACACACTGAGTCACTCGAGAGAGGAAGAAAGGTGAACAAAAATATTTAGATTAAAAGAATATGTGACGTTTTGAAATTTGCCTCCGTTTGGGATTTGCACTCACATGTTCTGAGCAGATCCTCCTCGCTCTCGTTCTGTTTGACCTTTGTACTGAACTGCTGAGGAAGGGTGAAGCTCATACAGATGGTCTCCGTCTTAGGATCTAAAGTGAAGGGAAGAGGGCAAAGATCTACCCGAGCATCCGAGATCAACACATAAAGCAGGTTGGAACACAGGGCTGGGGAGCAGGATGAGACAGAAAGCCTGACTTGCACACAATAATACACAAATTCTCCAAACTTTTAACAGATGAAAGCAAACCCGAGGTATCCATTTCCAAAAACTGAGATGCAGTTCTGTCCTTCAACCTAAGCTCTCACTGAGGAAGGAGTCCAGAGATTATTTATTGCTTACTTTTTACCTGTCCATGGAATGGGATCCAGAATTTTTCTCACTTATTCTTGTCGGTGCAGAGTCTCGTGGCAGCCCCTCCTTTTTTGCCTGTATGTCTACCCTACTGTGTAAAAGAAGCCCACCTACTTTTCATAACCCTCCATTGTTCGAAGTGGAGCCATGTGCTCCAACTTCGGCTGAAATTAGTACATTTTTAATCAAGCTCAAAGGATTATTTGAAGATAAAAAGCACACAAGATAACCTGCAAGTTGAGAATGAGCCATAGAATTAGGAAAATTGTTTTAAATTGCAAAGATGGAGAGTTTTGTGATTGCTCTGAGAGTCAGATTAAATATACAAACTGCAAAATGTGGCATATTGTAAACTACCTGTACATCCACTTTGATGAGTGCAATTTCTCTGCTGTGTTGTGTTGGCACTTTCATTGCCTGTCTGAAGATCACCTGTTGATTAAGACACTAATTAAAATCTTGATAATCTTCTCATGTTTGTTTAAAGATTCATTATTTTGGCTTCTTTATTTCATCCAATGTAAAAGGCACATCCCACTATTACCAATATAAGATCAAACTTTCAGACCACCACCGAACCTTAACATTCCTCATTGAATGCAAAGCTAAGTGCACGAGATAAACAGCCACCTCAAGTTCACATTCTGAACAATCACATTCATTTTCCATTCATTTATTAGAAAATATAAAGCGATTGACAGTATGGGTATTTGATCAAATTTGCAAGGGTCTTCACAAACAGCTGCTCTAACTCACTACACCACAAAGGATTCAGATCACACTCCTGTGAAGCTTTGATGTGGATCTGCAATGACTGGTCTAACTATCTGAAACACACCTTCACTGTGAAATAAACCTATAAAATTGTATGCTCTTATCAAATAATTTAACAAATTCTTTTGGTCTAATAAATAGTAACAATAGAATGTCTAGATCTAATATCTAATATGGATGGAAAAGGATATTTTTTTTCACAACAGTCTAGATTACCAGAAACTGTATTTCCTTCAGGTTTTTATAGAACAGTCCAGGGTTTTCTACACTAAAGGAAGCGAAACTCCAGAGCAAGATGCTGCCACTACGATCTCCCATAGAGAGCATGGAGTGAATTGTATGTGTGGTTTCATCGGATCATGGTACAAAGTTACATTTTGTTACCTATTATGTTTTCAATCTGTTTGTTGTTCAATTTAACTATACATGTTATCTTCCACAGTAAATTAAATAAAAAGACTTATCAATGTCAATTTTTGTTAATATCTAGAAGCAGGCATGTGTTAATGTTTTTAGATCGATTCTAGCTCGGCCATCTTCCAAAGCAGGTAAGAAAGCATCTTGTTGGAACACTGCTTCTTTTTTTTTTTTTAAAAAAAAAAAAAAAAAAAAAGCTGCATTTCTTTTAATTTTCTAATTATTTGTGTAAAAGGTTAAAGTAAAAAGCAGTTCAGAGGCGTTAGTAGCCATATTATTCCTGGTCGTTCACACGCATAGCGACTGGAGAACGACTGGATTCCAATGGAGGAATAAATGGTCAGGAGGAGGAAGTAAACATTAGAAACTAAATTAAAAAATATATCACTTTCTAACTAACCAAAAATAGACTTTGCAGTTTAGCATTTCTGTGACTTGTTTTAGTGCAGGTTAGATACAATACCTTGCTGACAGCAATACCAGTGGCTGCAGAGAGGAACCTGGATGCACCTCCACCACAGACCCAAGGTGCCGTTCCACTTGAACAGGTGGCTGCTGTACGTCTTCTCCTCAAAGTCTCCAGTGAGGAACTCATTTTTGATCGCAGTGGTGTTAACACACCGTTTGATAGGTGGGGTGTTGTACTGGAACCAGTCCTGAGTCCCCACCGCCACAGACAGGTAGACAGTGGCCAGCAGACTGAGGACTGAGCCGATGACCAAAGCCGTGGCGTAGCGATTGTCCACCATGGTCTCACAGACAGCTCGGACTGCCTGCAAGCAGAGGGGAAGAGAGATGCCGTTTCTGACAAAGAATGGACTGTCTAGATAAATATTTTGTTGCTCAGCAACTTCAGCCACAGCAGCACGACTCTGAAGTTAAGGATCAGTTTTACTCTTTAAATTAGACACCTGACTGCATTTTGAATGTGGAATACCACCTCCGATCCGCGCGACTTCCAAATCCAAAACACTGTGTTGTTAAACTTCAGCTAGATTATTTCCTTAGCATTACGCAATGTCCCTATAACACTGCATCAGGTTATTATCTAAGCCACTGACAATATACAAGCGAATTAGCGTCAATCAAACTGGCCAAAAGATTACCCAATATCTTTTGGACAGATATCCAACAATGCCATAGTGCTGTTGGATTACAGTACTGTGTCAAATATAAGCTGTCCTTTGCGGTATTGAACACAGATACTTCAATTTGATATATGGCTGCCAAATAAATAAAACAAAAGGGGGGGTAGGGGTGAGGGGCTTCAGTCTCTTTATATAGATACATATAATGTATTTCGTTGAATCTGTTCAAGATTCAATAGTCTAGCTGTAATTTTAAAGCTGGACTTCATGAAATGAGATGGAGAGAAACGTCATTTATTACAAGTTGTACTTTAATGAATCTGTCATTAGTGCAGTTTAAATTAGTCTGGGTGGTTTAGCGTTCCAGTAAAACTTCTGTTTGTAGATAGGGAAAAAAATATATTTTATTTTCTCTATTAGAATAAGTTAATCAATTATAGTGTCATCAAGTGCTAAAGCAATTCACTACTAGTATGACCAGTCAACGAACTGATATTTTCGCATTAAAATATTGAATCTTTAAAGTCAGTTTATTCAAGAACTAAAAGCTAACTTCAGCGTCCTGACAGCTGTATGTTGTTAGCACCTTAAGCTGGGTGTGTTTCAGTCGGTGTCCGAACCTCGGAGACTTTATTCGGTCATGTTTAAGTATCACCCGAACGCTGGGATGGGGGATACTGAAAAACAAAGACAAAAAACGGCTAATAGTTTTATACCAGCAACTGCGGAGACAAGAACTTTGACATTCAATAGCTAATTTAATGGACTTGTTTCAGATAGCAGCTACACAGACATAGAGAATAGAAACATGGCGACCTAGCTAGGTTTCTAGGTCGCCACTGTCACACAAAGAAGCCACCGTCATTATAATTCAACTAAAAAAAATTAGCATTATTATCAAATTCATAGGTAACAAAAACATGATACCAACAACCGCTTCTTCTCAGTTTCCTGATGCTGCTCCGGTGTTACGTTGGTCTTTTTTTTTTTTTTTTTAGAACTTTATTTAAATTGTTGCATTTGTTACAAACAGTGAAAAAGTATTGGATATCTAGGAAACGTACTGTAAAAGAGGACATTAAACAAAGAGTGTATTCAGTAAAAATCATTTAATAATTCTATAGCCCTTTTGTTTGAATTTAAGATTGTATCTAGATACAATTTCAAATCTATTACAAGGTGTTCAAAAACTTTTATGAATACAAAACTTTTGAAAGAAACAAAATCTTATTTGTAAGAAATATGGCAGAATCTTTGACTTTAAAATCTACTTTCCCAAAATACAGTGTGAAATCAGGTGCATTGTTAATGAAGATCAGCAAAATGCTTTTTGAAAAGTTTTGTGAACTAACCAAAAAAAAAAAAAAATCAACAGTCCCTGTATAAAGTTTACAGGAAGAACAAGAGATAACTATAGCTTTATATTTATGAAGGAAGTGTCTGATTGGTTAAAATTAATGACTTAATTTTGAAGAAACCTCTTTGACTTTGAGTGAAAGAGCACTTTTTTCAGTTAAGATTCTGCACAAAGATATTCCAATTTGTCTGCAGGATAAAGTGGATGAAACCAGATTTTCATGAAAATATTGATTGAATTTTAGAATTGATGGCTTTTTAGTTGAGTTGGATTGTCTAGGTTCGGGTAAGGAGGATTTTAGGTCAATATCTTTAAACAACACGAGCAACCCCAGGGCAGAATGAATTGCAATGCTTCTCTTAAAGTAATAAAAACCCTGTACTAAGAAAATCTGCATAGCTGTAGAAGTTATTTGTTGTAGCTGATGAAATTGAATAATGCCAACTATGTCTGAAGAAATAATAGCTTGTTTTTGTGCAGAATTTTAGAGTTATTCCAAATACAACACATGTGGAAAACAGGTTATGATTAGAGACCATACTAAAATTAACCTATTGGTGGAAGATGGAAAGTTCTGGGTATTTTTAGAATACAAATCCCCCACGATGGACTACAGGCACCGAGAAAACTCTAAATCTAAGAGGTGGAGAAAAAGAAAATGTGGCATGTGGAACACATTGAAGTGAGAATCCCAAATAAAGAATGAGTGTAATGCAGGAACCAAAACTAACCTATCCTGTCTTTAAATTTGATGCCATACATTTGCCTGCCCTAAAATGTGAATATGCATAAAAGCTAAGTTGCATTAAAATAAAGATGGATTTCAAGTTTTTATTTTGTTTTTATGATATAGGCACATCTTGTACAAATATTACAACTACAAGATGACTAGATGACTAATTTAAAGCTATGGAGCAACTTGTTTTACTCAAAGGACTACGCATCTAAACAGACACATCCCTGATGTGGTTTTCATCTGAAAAATTAAATGTTCCCTGAATGATGAAATGCCACAGCTAACATTGCTTATAATCCCTTTGAGAGTAGACAAGAAGAGATTTTGGATACCTGCTACAATCAAGTGGTGCAAACATAGTTAGAAAAATAGTATCAGAAAACAAAATGTCATTTACACAACATAGATTGTTCAAAAAAAAAAATTCAAATGCTCTTCCATTTCACAAATCAAACATTGATTCCAGGCTCATATGTCGAGTCCTGCAGTGCAAACTGATTCCTTTAGTGCAATAGAGAGTTCCCTTATTGTCACAGGAAATCCTCTTTAGTAAACAGTCTCCTGTGCAGTTTGGGCTGAGAGAGGACTGTTGCATTGAGGATCGGGGTGTTTGTAAACTCAATTGTGCATGGCTGGTAGCTGCATGGATCTGCTTCCAGCTCCAGGACGGTCACATTGTTGGGTGCTGCTGTGCTCAGGATGCTGGCAGGCACAAAAAGTGTCACCTGAGGGCCACGAGCGGGCCAGTAACGCCCCAAATTAAAACCGTTAATCCAGATCTGCCCCTAAGGAAACAAATAAATATTTAATTTGCACTGCATTTTAGTCAAAGGTGCCTAACAGATATTACATTGGGAATGTAAAAGTTTTACTGGCGATATAAACAACGCAATAATAAAACATTTAATATCTGAAACTATTTGTAGAAGGGTAGTGACAGCTCATGGTCTTATTGCTTAAATAATAATAATAAAAAAAAGATCTACTTTCACAATTTAATTAAACTCACATGTTGAATATCTATACATGAGTAGTTGACAAAGCTTAAAAGCTAAAAACTTATTTTAGGGTCTCTCACCTTCTTCCAGCCTGGCAGCTTGACATAAGTGTCTTGAGGGAGGTCAGGAATACCGTCAGGAATGATGAAGCTTCCATTGTAGAAAGCGGGAAGCGAAAGAGTCGCAGGCTGACCTGGGTCTCTTTGTGTGGGAGATTGTTCTCCGAGAAGGCCCTGTCTGACCGCCTCGTCGATGCTGAGACTGTACATGGTCCAGCCGGTAAGGGTGGTTTGTCCCAGATTAAGATTGGAGACCAGGCCCTTTATTGAGAAAACAACAAATGATAAAAAAAAAATGTAACATTTCTAAATCATTCCAAATGTTTCAGTGTGGATGCCCCATTGTGATCCCAGGTTGGTGCAGTGTCTGTGACTTTATGTCAGCAACAACTTAATGTCTGACAGCACATTAGACCTTGAGGCCTCAGTAACAAATTTCTAAAGCCAAAAACAAACAAACAAAAAAAAAAAAAGAAAACAAAACAAAAAACCTTGAAGTCATTGATGTCTTTTCCATAGTTGATTCGGCCCATGTTTTCCACCAGGATGTCCACCTGACTTCCAGCATTTCCCGTCACATTCACACTCAAGACCTTGTTCCTTTCCAGAACCCCTACTGCCACCTTAAAAAAAAAAAAAAGTATGTTTATATTAGTACAATTATCACAAATCCTGAGGGAAAAAAATTACATTTTGAAATTGAAAATTGTATTCACTGTTTCTGTACTGAAGTGTTGTTGACTGGAGGTAGACTGAATGATTCAGTCTACTGTTTGTTAGTTTTGATTCCTCATACTTTGTCGTTTCATGTACTCAGAGGCAAAATGCACTGGAAAAGCTGGTCTCTAATGTAAAAGGCCAACTAATGTACTGCTGTCTCCTTCTGTATTTTTGTTAATTAAAAAATGTGTGCTCTTCATTGAAGTTCTGCATCTACTGTAGTTCTTTTGTAATAATTAGCTACAATTCACAGCTTTTGCACAGAGGATCTGATGATGAATAATGCGACTCACCCCATCCACTGACACATACGCTCTGTCATGGACCCCATTCAGAGGCGATGACAGAGGGGTGGGTTGGCTACAATTAAAAGGCAGAGTTGTTCTGTACAGAACAAAGCCAAAGCTCTGGAGAGGTAAAAAAAAAAAAAGACACAGAAAGTGAAAAAAACAAAAATGGAACTACTGTGGTGAGAAAAGACTGGAGGATACCTGATTTAAGTCAGTGAATGTCTGAGGATAGGTGCTTTTAACTGGACCTGAGAACGACAGCGTTTCTACGGCACTCAACACCGTCTGGAGCTGCAGGAGACAAAACAAGCAAGTCGATGCTAGTTTGGTGCAAAGTCAGAAACGATGGTCACAAACTAGAAGCCTGTAAGTGATAACATCAAACACAGCCATCTGAATGCTTACCTTCTGCATCGTAACCGAACCGTACGCATACTTTGGCGTTGTTGGTGGAATCGGTCCCTCCGGTACCTTACTGTACTATTTTAGGAAGACAAAGATGTTCTCAATGACACAAAAGGAAAAAAAAATATCTAAAACAATGCTTAAATATTCAGGTTCATACCATTCTGATAACGTCTCTGATGGCAAAGTATTTCTCTGTGAGATCTCCTGCCTCTGACAGAGGGGCGTCATAGTCGTAGCTTGTGGGCTGTGCAGCATACGGGGAGTTTGCGCCTGAGAGCATTAAAACACACCATTAGTGTCTCAGGAAAGATGCAGGAAAGCTGTATTATGCTAACATCACACTCACCATTCCAGTAGCCAAAGTTTGACCCGCCTATGAACATGTACCTTCAGGGAAGGAATAAAAAAATATATGTTTGTACTTAAAATATTGACTTTAGATTATTATTATTATTTTTTTTTAGAATGATTTACAAAGCTGTAACATTATGATCACATTTTAATGATGTAATGATAAACTTTCTTCATAGAAGGTCTGTCTAACCACGACTGACTCCAATGACTTCAATAAATCATGTGACATACATACAAGCATGCATACGTACATGTGTGGAAGTTTATGTTCAAATTGGACCAATTTTTGGTCATTATGTGTTCTGTTTCGATTGTAATTTGGTACATCTGAAAGTGTTGTTGACCAAATCTGTTTGTTGCTTGCTACAGTTGTGCTAGCCAGAAAACTGCTGATTTTGATCCATTTAGTTCAGGTTTAAGTCTTCTATCAAAGTGTGAAACTTTTCCACTTTTTCCATGTATGGCTACATCTTTGGCAACCGACGAGCTTTATCAGGAAAATACGTGAAATTGCCATACTATTGCTGGTCAGTTAGAGTTCATTCAAATAATCAAAATTTTTTACTAATGTACAGAAAGGGAATGCATGAAACCTGACATATAACAGTCAGTCAAATGTTGTGTACTAAAAGTCCTTTGTGAAAGAAATACTGCACACGCTGACATTGCGATATGTGCATCATAATATATGGCGCTGCTTTGATAAAAATTATCCATCCTTTCAACAATTCTTTTGATTGTTTTTAAATTTTAAATATTTGAACAATCATTGATTGCTTCTTCTATACAATCTCATATCTTAAGGCTTCAATGCCTATCAGTAGCCAAATTTGACAAGTGGAAAAGTTACACGACTTCTGCCAGCAGGTGGCACAAGCAACATCAGAGTCACAGACTGCTTCTCTAAACTAATCACTGGTAACTTTTGCTCACTTACAGGTTAACATTTGCTTCTACAGCCAGCATCTGGCTGAGGGACTTGGCCACAACAGCGGACGACACAACAGAGTGACGGGATCCCCAGTGGTCCAGCCATCCAGTGTAAAACTCAGAGTTCACCTGTGAAACAAAGGAACAGGAGTATTTTCACTTTGCCATGCGGGTAACAGTAGCAACATGCGCAGGGTGAGGCGAGTTCTTACCAAAGGCCCATAAGGTTCAGCATGTCGCTGTGCCGCAAAGGCAGCAGTTATATTTGCACCTAGCAGAGAGACGAGGCATAGAATTGCAAAGTGTCTTTGTGCAACTTCCTCATTACTTCTTACTAAGCTAAAACGTGACAATGAGTCGGCATAGACACACAAATAAGAAAACAAACCTAAATGAAGGGATCTCAGAGGGTACACAATAACACAAACAAAGTGAGTCATTTCACAGAAAAGGAAAATTCACTGTAACATGCAGAGTCGCTGAGCTTACTGGGACCAAAGTCTACGGTGGCATAGAGGCCTTGTATTGAGCCACACTTCAGGTAATTCACCCCGGCACCATCTGTGGTGAACAGCACCCCCTCATCTCCCAGTTTAGCTCTGAACAGTTTGGTTAGGTGACGCATGTAGTTGTAGTCACAGGTAAAGTAGCTGCCATATTCATTCTCCACCTGTTGATAAAGGTTGTGTGTCAATATTTTTCTTATCTTATGAGACTAAATCTTGTTTTTTTTTTTAACTCCTCACATGGATTGGCAACCTGGTCAATTCAAACAAAAAGTAAAAACATCCATCATCCCCTCCTGCACTCTCTTCAGCTCATCCATACAATCTATACGATGGCCTTTGATGAAGGTTAATTATGTGTCTGTTGAACCATTTCTGTTTTTTCTTGATTTTTAATCATGTAATTATTGTTTAAGACCCAATGATTATCCATTTTAAATTCATAAGTTCAAAATCACATGAAGTCAGTAAGGTTCTCATGTTCTTTAATTCATTAATAAGCCCACAGCCACACAGATCCTCCACCGTACTTGACAGTGAGACTCATGCTTTCCCACACATTGAGCCTCTGTTTCCTGCCTAACCCACCTGGACTGCTTTGTTTTGTTGTTTTTTGTTGTTGTTGTTGTTCATAAAAGCTCAAACTAAAGATCAATACATACTTTATAAGGACAAGGAAGTCTGTTTTCTCCCAGAGCTACAGTTACAAAAGCATGTCATTCTGGTATTGCAGCTGTGGTTTGGCAGCTCTTGCATCAACTTATCACTTTCAATAAGCAGTGGCCAAACGATCCATGAGAAACTTCAAGAGGTATGCATGTTAAAAATTCTCCATTTATATTTATTTACCATTTAATACTTTACCAGCGCGGACTAGTAACTTTGCAGTGGGCTGTAAAATGAAAACCAGTCAGGTACTAATATGAGAAACAAACAGAGACATCCACACTCACCTGTACAGTGATGATGGGACCACCGTTCTGGTAGAGGTAAGGCTTCATCATGGGTAACAGCTTCCCCATCCATTTGTCCACGGCTGCAATGTAATCTGGAATGGACACAAATTACAGCATTGTGCTTTTATGCAGTGGGACACCGCATACATTTCTGACTTAGATGAGTGTTTGCTACTTACCAGGGTCAGACGATCGCAGCACAATGTTTTTCTTATTGAGAAGCCATGCGGGCAGACCCCCCTAATCGGCAGAATAACATTTAATAATTAGAAACACAACAGGCGCTGAGACTGCCAAGCTTTAGATTCCACACATTGTACACAGTTCTTTATAGGTACACTGCCTTGCAAAAACATCCATTTTGCTAAGACTTTTTTTTTTTTTTTTTCCCTGTATTTGATTACAATACAACATAGAAGCCAGACAATGACTGTAGTGGGAAGTAAACCAATAGAAAATAATTAAATTTAAAGAATCTTAACCATAAAATCCCAGCAAACACATTGATCCAGTTGTCCAGAGTTTTTGTTCAAATGGTGACATTCAGATAAAACATGAGGCTGCAGTCTGCTCTGAGGTCTGCTCCTCAAACAAGTCCTTCATATGTACATTGTCACAGCAGACACACTGTCTGTGGAGTAAATGCTGTTTTCTCTCAGTGTTGGAGAAGGCTTTGTGTCAGAGGACATCCTGCAAAAAGGGCAATGCAAGAGAGACTACATACTTTAGTGTTTATGTTATCTGGCTAATATAGAGTGCCACATTAACAATGTCATTTTAGCACATGACTCGCTGGATCACAGCACTTACTGGAACTCAAAGGAAGCCCTTGAAAAAATGAGACTAAATGTCCCTTTTCAACTCAGTTTTTGAAAGCAAACGCATTTAAAGTCACGTTTCCCTCACCATGTCCCACTCTCCACATATGTACGGCCCTGGACGAAGGATCACCAACAGACCGATGTCCTGAGCCAACTTAAGAAAATATTCCACATCTCTGTCTCCGCTGAAATTGTACTGGCCAGGAGTCTCTTCATGGTAGTTCCAGGGAATGTAGCTGCGAGCGTAAGAAAGTATTTATGTTCAACAATTAACTCATAAAGTGTGTTTTATCCTAAATAAATGTAAAATTACCCAAAATCAGAATGAGATTCAATGAAAAAAAGAAACCGGCACATTGTTTTCATAAAGTATGAATTGAATATGAATCTAAAATATGCTGTTGAAGTGAAGATTGTTTCTTAAATACATACAGAGAATAAATTACTCCAAATGATTACAAGTAAATATTAACTAAAAATTGTCTTAGATCTTATATGTCGAGGGGTTACTCAGTTCACCAGATTTATATATTAAATAACACATTAAATAAAAAGACCCATCTTTTTTAAATAATTCTGTCACTTTTGGTCTGAGGAACTTTTATTTTTACTTTTTTATAAGTGCGATACAGTCATCATGCTTCCAGGTCCGGTGAATAATGTGTTCAAACAGAAATCTCCAACCCTGGCCTTCAAGGTCCAATACCCAGCATGCTTTGGATGTGTCTGTGCTCCAGGACTCCTAACTGTAATGACTGCTTCTTTATCTCCTCAGGATGCCATTAAAAGTAGAAAAACTGGTTAACCCCCATTCATTTGATTCATGTGTGTGGCAGCAGAGAAAAATCTAAAACGTTATTATATATGATCCCGCTTTTATTGACGAAAGTATTTGTTATTCATGATCAAACGTCATTATTTTAATTTAGAAGACAAACTAAAAGCAACTTTTCATCTGTTAAAAGCAAGTAGTAGTTATGAATAAGACAGTACTTCATAAAACAATGCAACAATAATAACTCATCTGTGCAGTGTCTGCAACTTTCTTAGGAGACCACTGATGCATCACATAATTCCTGATTTTAAACGTGATTCAACAGAGCACCGTATTTGTGTGTGTGGAGGAATCATACGTCTGGATGGCGTTCAGTCCTGCCATGTACATCTTCAGCAGCCGGTCTTTCCAGTAGGCCCTGGGTATCCTGCTGTAGTGGATGCTCCCTGATATGTAACGAAATTGTTCTCCATCCTTACGGAAACAGTTGTTTTCGTAGTCCACGCTGAATGATGGAGACGTCCCGATCTGCAGGTCAAAACACCATTGTCTGTCACTGTACACTTACACATGCGCAGTACTTCCCATAGAGTTTCAAGTGTATAGCCCAGAGATGACACCTCAGGTCACTGTAGGGATGTAGAAGCCAAACACCTGAAGACACTTAAAATGTTTTAGTAAAGAATGCTGCAGATTCATCAACATGATCAAAAATATAATCATAAAAAAATCTTAATTAAAGCTTTAGTCAGTCTAGACCCCTATAAATTGCAACACATTATTTACATCCATCATTTTTAGCTTAAAATATCTGTAAAATATATGTAATTATTATATGTTAAGATGTCAATAAACCATGAAATCTGCTCATTTCAGTTTAAACTGTTATACAAACTCAAAAGAAAGTTTAAAGACTTTAGCTAGGTGCTCAGAAATACTCACAGAGTGTCCAAACATCATCACCAGCAGCAGCAGAAAGACGCTGTTAAATCGGAGCACCGACATGATGAGTCTCTCTCACAGCTAGTGCTGGGATGTTGCTATATTAAAACTTCTTAACAGGAGCCGCAAACACCAACAAAATCAGATATCTAGCCAAGGATTTCCCACTGAGTGTACTGAGGTGTTTTTCAATGAACAGCATCACAAGTTGCGGAAGTAAAAATCATGTGACCGCCTGGTCCCATGAAAGATCTGGGATGCAGTCTGCCCAGTAGATGGCACTGCAGAGTGTTTTAGTACGGTGTTCATTTTAGGACATCCTCAGGACTCAAGAAAAAAAAAACCGCACACATTAGAACAGTGTATAAAGTTTCAGATGTGAGGCCATAGACAAAAAGTTACCAGCCCTCTCACTAAAAGGCATTAAAATGAAAAGTCTTTTCAAAAACGGCCTTAGACGAAAAGGTCTTATTTTTGTAAATATAAAGTTCTATAGACTACGAATGTAATTTGCCGTTCCTCCCTCACACCAACAGATGGCGACAACGCACAGCTGGATCTACGTCAGAACCGGAAATAACGCATCATACACAAGGCTGGGAGCAGGCACACGTGGGTCTTGGAGTTAGTTAAAGTTATGTACTTTTGCCTGTTTTATTAAGAAGTATGCCGAAGAGAACGAGGGCCCGGTCGGAGGAAAACAGCTCAGTGGAGCTGGTTGAGGATCCGCCAGCGGAGGGCAGGCGGACCCGTAGCGGCCGCACGGTGCGCCCTCCTGCCGCATTGCAAGACAGCACAACCCCGGTGAGGACTCCCAGCAGAAGGACCAGGAGGTCCGTCCTAAAGGAGCTGCCACCGCCGGCGGAAGAAGAAAACCCCGAAGATACGGAGCAGAAACCAGACAGTCCGACCGTGGAAGAATCCAGTGCGTCTACGGAATCAGAACCCACAAAAATTACAGAACCCGCCGGACCAGCAGAACCCACAGTGCCCTCAGACCCACCGGCCCAGGCAGCAGTCATGGAAACGGATAAAGCCGATGATGGAGGAGAACATCAGCTGTCCAAGTCTGCACCAGCAGAAACGGCTCCTGTAGGTTCAGGTAGCATCCCGAAGAAGAAAGCTCACCTGGCTCCCAGTGCCAAACCGATCCCGGCGGTTCCGCTGGGAAAACCAAAGTCAGGAAGAGTGTGGAAGGACCGGAACAAGCAGAGGTGGGATATGTCTTCAGCTTGCTGAGTTGAAGCTGAAATTGTATTATTTCTGTTCGGAAAAGTTCTTTCTTAACCTGTCTGCATGAATATACTGATAAAATAAGAAATCCAGTGGATTTTATGATGGAAACTGTTAATTTATTCTCAAATAAACAATGCAGCCTGCTTTGTCATAACACCTACAAANGATGAAACCACACATACAATTCACTCCATGCTCTCTATGGGAGATCGTAGTGGCAGCATCTTGCTCTGGAGTTTCGCTTCCTTTAGTGTAGAAAACCCTGGACTGTTCTATAAAAACCTGAAGGAAATACAGTTTCTGGTAATCTAGACTGTTGTGAAAAAAAATATCCTTTTCCATCCATATTAGATATTAGATCTAGACATTCTATTGTTACTATTTATTAGACCAAAAGAATTTGTTAAATTATTTGATAAGAGCATACAATTTTATAGGTTTATTTCACAGTGAAGGTGTGTTTCAGATAGTTAGACCAGTCATTGCAGATCCACATCAAAGCTTCACAGGAGTGTGATCTGAATCCTTTGTGGTGTAGTGAGTTAGAGCAGCTGTTTGTGAAGACCCTTGCAAATTTGATCAAATACCCATACTGTCAATCGCTTTATATTTTCTAATAAATGAATGGAAAATGAATGTGATTGTTCAGAATGTGAACTTGAGGTGGCTGTTTATCTCGTGCACTTAGCTTTGCATTCAATGAGGAATGTTAAGGTTCGGTGGTGGTCTGAAAGTTTGATCTTATATTGGTAATAGTGGGATGTGCCTTTTACATTGGATGAAATAAAGAAGCCAAAATAATGAATCTTTAAACAAACATGAGAAGATTATCAAGATTTTAATTAGTGTCTTAATCAACAGGTGATCTTCAGACAGGCAATGAAAGTGCCAACACAACACAGCAGAGAAATTGCACTCATCAAAGTGGATGTACAGGTAGTTTACAATATGCCACATTTTGCAGTTTGTATATTTAATCTGACTCTCAGAGCAATCACAAAACTCTCCATCTTTGCAATTTAAAACAATTTTCCTAATTCTATGGCTCATTCTCAACTTGCAGGTTATCTTGTGTGCTTTTTATCTTCAAATAATCCTTTGAGCTTGATTAAAAATGTACTAATTTCAGCCGAAGTTGGAGCACATGGCTCCACTTCGAACAATGGAGGGTTATGAAAAGTAGGTGGGCTTCTTTTACACAGTAGGGTAGACATACAGGCAAAAAAGGAGGGGCTGCCACGAGACTCTGCACCGACAAGAATAAGTGAGAAAAATTCTGGATCCCATTCCATGGACAGGTAAAAAGTAAGCAATAAATAATCTCTGGACTCCTTCCTCAGTGAGAGCTTAGGTTGAAGGACAGAACTGCATCTCAGTTTTTGGAAATGGATACCTCGGGTTTGCTTTCATCTGTTAAAAGTTTGGAGAATTTGTGTATTATTGTGTGCAAGTCAGGCTTTCTGTCTCATCCTGCTCCCCAGCCCTGTGTTCCAACCTGCTTTATGTGTTGATCTCGGATGCTCGGGTAGATCTTTGCCCTCTTCCCTTCACTTTAGATCCTAAGACGGAGACCATCTGTATGAGCTTCACCCTTCCTCAGCAGTTCAGTACAAAGGTCAAACAGAACGAGAGCGAGGAGGATCTGCTCAGAACATGTGAGTGCAAATCCCAAACGGAGGCAAATTTCAAAACGTCACATATTCTTTTAATCTAAATATTTTTGTTCACCTTTCTTCCTCTCTCGAGTGACTCAGTGTGTTGAAGTTTTAATTTTATACCCAACCCTGCCTCAAAGATAAAAAAAAACAAATTTTTTTTTTTGATTTTTGTTGCAGTAGTTGATTTGTCCTCCAAACTGTTTTCAGTGGTTGGTTTAATTTGACAAACCTCTGAATGGTGAATCTTTGTCTTTTTGTTCAGATCTGTGGAGGTGCCAGTTTCTGCTGCCCCTGGTGTCTTTGTCTCTGGTGTTTCTCAGTGGTCTGGTTGGGGTCTGTGCCTGCCTGTGCCGCAGCTTCACGCCAACCCTGGTTGTGGGATTGTTCCATTTTATCGCAGGTGAGAGAAATGCGTCCCTATCCTGTTGATCCTCAGGTGTACCCTTTTGTTAAAATGCTGTATTTTTATCTTAATGTTGAGTTGAGATGGATAATTTTGTAACTCTTTCCAATCTTCTATAGCATTTAATCTAAGATATAATAAATGCAGGTTTTGTCCGTTTTTTTTTTCTTGCAATATTGGTGTTGAATGTCCACAAAGAATTACACTGAAAGTGCCACTATGTTTTCAGTTCTACTTTTTTTTTCATTAGAATTGAATCTGTTTGTTTTTTTTTGTTTTTTACATTTTTCATTCTACAGAAAAATTATCTGTCCTCTCTGCAAAATGTTATATTTCTCTATATTTTAAATTATAAGAATTAAAGAAAATTGTTTATTTGAAATGACACCAAATTTATTTGAGTAGACTTTTATCTATATAAGCTGTATTTTTATTTATTTATTTATTTATTTATTTATTTATTTATTTATTCATTCATTCATTCATTCATTCAAAAAAACACAGTTGCGACTCTAAGTGAGTTTTATTTGGCTGACCTGAGAGCAGAAACTGCTCTTTTGGTTGTAAAGGTTGCAGACTCCTGCTCTGCACTGACCAAAACTACTGGATCAACCAGACTGACGTTCCCTGCTGCAGCCTCGAGTATAGCAGCCGTTGTGGTTTTCTCAAATCCATCCAAAATGTGAAAATAAATTATTTGTATTGCTTACAGGACTTTGTTTATAAACCAGAACATTTAAAGAAGCAGGAAAACCAGAAAATTCTCAAACCAGCTCTGTGTAACTACTTTCTTTAGATTTTAATGTTGATTTTTTTAAATTTCTTGTAAATTGTCTGTTGAATGTGGTGGTGAGTCTTTTTGATTTTTTTTTTTACTATGATGCTGCACAGATGCTTCCTTTTTTTGCCTTTGAGTCCAAACACTTTGGAGCCTCATTGAGGGCATCGATACTTGAAGTTTTCTTTTTTTGTTGTGCTGTTATTAAGCAGTTCTTTACACTTTTCAAAGGCCATTTCTGGTAGGCGTACAACAGTGTGTTATGGTTTCATTCTTATCACTACCACAAAGCAAAGTTTCAGCTTCAGGATGTTGTTTTTACTTTAAGCCCTGTGACAAGCTGAAGATAATGATGGTAATCAACAGCATCTTTATTTCTCATCCTTCTGCTCGGCTGTTGTCTCGTCTTGTTATCAGGCCTCTGCTCTTTGGGAACTGTCTGCTGTTTTCGGATCAGCGTGGATCAGCTCAACGGCGAATACAGAAAACCGGGAGATGTCGTCGGGTCAATGGGGTGGTCTCTCTACCTGGCCCTCATCTCCTTCCCCCTGCAGATGATGGCCGCCGCTCTGTTCCTGTGGGCGGCCAGAAGTCACCGCAAACACTACACCCGCATAACCGCATATAGGGTTGCATAAAGAGACAGGGATAGTATATTTTACGATAACCAAGTAGGTCTACAACCTTCCTTCCAACAATTTGTGGTTGTAGTTCAATAAAATGTTCAGGTCGTAGCTTCTCACTTCCACTGTAGCAGTCTTGCAATGCAGAAATAGTTCAGGGTATCACAGGTTTAAGCGTCAGCTGCAGCCAATCCATACGTACTCATAAACACATTGAAACATTTCGTGTGGCTTTATATCACCTTTGCCTTTGTTTTTTTTTAACCCCATTACTGAGTTGTACATCATCTTGATGTTGCATATTTTTAGCTTCTAGGTTTTTGTGCTATATTTGTTTCTGCTGGGTTTTTTATTTTGCCATTTGCCTTCTTTTTGTTGCCAATGCTTTTCCAGCTGCTCACCATATTGTCCTTAACTCGGATACAACTGTGTAAACTTGCACTATCTGACTTTTAGATGTGGACTTTTATGGTCCAAATCAAGGTAGTTGTTTCTGTTACTAAAAAGAGTCTGGTGCACCTTTATTTAACTTTTTTGTCTTGTTTTTGCATCATTTTTAAATATCAAGGCTTTGCATGTCATTTGGGTTGACCTTTCCATCATCTGTGGTATTTTTATTTTTTTTTTTTATTTTGGTCTGTGGTAAAATGACTAAATGTCATAAAATGCCACAGTCTAAAAGTGGAACCACTCACCTTCTGCTGTCATTGATATTGATGAATCTTGTGTGTACTGATGCAGCGTAATTACCAATTTTATTGTGTTGTTTTTGTAACAAGCTGAATCTATTAAATGCGTTCAGGAAATTCAGTTACTACTACTGCCGTTTAAATGTTAAAAGCTGTCTAAACAGTTGCTTTCTCAGTTGTTCAATGTTGGTTTTATTGGAGTTTGTCGAATTTTGCAGTTTATCTTCACAGTTTGCCTGGCCATAAACTCAGAAAAGGACCCATCCTTGATGTAAGACCCCTTACAAAAGTATCTACACCCTTGAGTTTGCACATTCAGCCTCCTTACAATCACAGAACTCACGATTTTTGGACGAACACCAGTGCATAAATGGAAAGCTAAAAGTAAATTGATACAATATTTTTACATAAGCACCTCAGCTTTCTTGTCGGTGCTGCAATTCTTTTGGGGGTATCTCTGTTCCAGCCTTAAAAATCTACGAAGTTTTGCCAATTCTATTTTTGGAAAACACCAAGCTCTGATTAGATACATCTAGGAAGAGCCAATTTTGTCTTTTCTTTAGTTTTGAACTTTGACTAGTCCATTTCCATTCAGTTTTGTTCCTGGTCGTATGTTTAGGCTGGTTGTCATGCTGGAAGTTGTAGCTCTGCTCCAATTTAAAATCTTTTGCAGCCTCTCACGGGATTTCACCCAGAAAGGCCTTGTATTTAATTCAATACATCTTAGCTCTTGACTGGGAGTTTGTGATTGTAACCTGACAAAATGTGAAAGTTTTGAGGGTAATAATACTTTTGCAATACAAAGTAGCAGAGTGAACAACTCCAGTAATTGTTTTATTTGGCTCATTATTTCACTGATTTGCACAGTGACCAGATTCTGATTTCTTCAACCAACATTTTTTTTTTTTTCAGAAATAAATTTGCCTTCATCAGGGAAAGAAAAAAAAAGACTAACATTGACTCAAAACATGTCCATTTGTATTTTTGGAGAAAGAAAGTGTTTAGAAAACAGCACAATTTCAAAACTGAAAGCAATACTTAATATTTTTATACCATGTGAGGACAATTTATGTTATTCCCTTTAAAGTTCTTTACAACTTTAAAGGGAAGGGAATCACTATAGGAAAAATAAGAAAATAGGCTTCAGTTCCCCAGCTGAATCTTTTCTCGTTTTCTATCTGATGATTTATTTGTTCTGTTACAGAGTGAAGGACATAAATCAGGGTTATTGTTGCCAAGTTGTCGCCCCAGTCATGCCCTGTGTCTACCATGAGGGGGCAGAGTTAGGATCTGGCTTTTATTCAATTGGTCAGGTAAGATTTGAAAAAGAGTCCAGGACATGAAATTATCTGATGATCTGATTATATTCACTTTTGAGCACATTAGCACAGAATCCTCATGCTTTTGGTTTTTTTTTACAAGATAATTTGAGAAAAAAAACTAAAAACTAAATTAAAATGCGCAAAATATCTGTATGAAACATTTTGTTGATAATTCACATTGATCAGAGGTGTTTTAACTATGTTACATTTTCAAATAAGCAAGAATTTGTCATTTCACTCTGGTGTCAGAAAATAAATTGTGACTTTGTTTTGAACTGACATCTTTAACTGAAGCGTTTCCTGTCAGTATGTCGAGTTATACGTATTGAGACTTCTTGAAAACTTTTTCATCTTCTGAAACGTAATACTGTATTGTTGCTATGTGAAATAAATTTGACAATTGGTTACTTTTATTGGAATTTTGTCGATTTTCATTAGCTTAAAATTTGAATGCAGAGATGGTGCTTTACTTTTTGCAAATGGAAAATATCTGAATAAATTTGGATAACTTTACATTTCTGTGCAGATGTGCTTCCATTCTGACCATTTAGAGCAGAATACTACTACTAAAACTCCATGCGTTACAATAAAGCACATTGTATGACTTACGACTTAATATATACATTAATGCACTTTCCACAACTTAAAGTAAATTAATTCATGGAATGTGCATTAATGTAGATATTTTTCTTTTATGTGTCAAGACAATTTTCACATGCTTCTAAGAAGATCATCAGAAATACACAAGTAATGCTTCCATTTATTTTGTTTGGGCACAACTGATGATAATGTAATATTGAAAGAGTGATGGAAAAAAAAAAGGTTCAGATTCTGTTTTACAAGCAGGGATTTTTCTGTCATTCCATAATTAATATTGGCCAATAATCATTTTTTGTTATTGCAATAAATACTAGGAAAAATAATGAAATGTACGTTACATTGCTCACCCCTAAAGGCAGCTCAGGATACCTGCTCCTGTCATGACAAATGGTGGCTTGACAAAATACAGATTCAGGGGCGCTGAATATAAGTCACACTAGCTAGATTTTTAATTAAAGTAGAAATTTTAATATCCATGCATTATTTTCTTTCCATTTTATAATTATGCTCTTCTTTGTACAAGTCTATCATGTAAGACCAGAATAAAAAAAACCTGAAATTTATCACAAGATAAAATGAGAAAAGATTTAAAGGCTATAAATATTTTTAGTTTTGCAAGGCATTTTATCAGGTGTTACAGATAAACTCAAATTCCTGACTTCCATCTTTTGCTCCATTGTGTTTTTTTCTTAAGGTGATTGATGTACTCGTGTTATCTTTGTCTTCCCTCAGTCGTTTTTCACGCTTATGGGTGGAAAGCTGTACGTTTTTCTCTGAGCTAAATGGAAAGCAATCTTCTTCTCGTAGTAGGCGCATTCATTCACAAAGAAAGGGTAGAGGTCTTCTCCCTCGTACTTCAAAATATCCCCAGAAAATGTCTGGAAGATGGGATCCCCTGATCGCAGAAGCTTAAAGTCATTATCCTAAAAAAAAAAAAAAAAAAAAAAGAGAGAAAATTATACATGCATGTTTTCACTTCACTGGTTTTCTAAAGAGCCTCAGTTTTTCATTAAGTTCAAAGGTAAATTGTTGGATTTAAAAGCCTCAAAAGTTCACCTGTAGGTTTTGGTGGATGACAGCAGTGGCTTTACCAGCCGAGTCTCGTGGGTAGTCAACACTTTTAACAAAAGTGTATGCTTCCACTGTGCCGCGCTCAAAGCTGTGCCCTGTTGGCAGAGGAAAATAAATCACTGAGTAATGTGTCTAATTAATATAACGCAATCAAAAATAAGAGCAGGATTTAGGACTTTTGTTATGCAGAGATTATTTGCTCAACTAAAAACAGAAAGAAAGCAACCTGCATTGCTTCCTACCAGAACTGAATTTCTGAAGCCACTGTAATGTGAGATCCAATGCTTCTTTCACCACGTTGAAGATATCAGCTCTGAGCACACCGTTGGGTTGCGGGCCGACTTCTATCGCTGCAACAAAGCAATGTTTGTCTCAGAAATCCAGCTTAATGAAGATAATCTTTCACATAATGAATATTGACATAGTTACCAAAGCCATGTTTGCCCACTGACTCCAGGGAATAAGCTTTGGAGCTGGGAATGTCCAGCTGTATCGCTCTCACAGGCACAGAGCTCAAGTTATTCTGAAAAATTGATATTTACAGATTAAAAACCTATCATACATCCTGCAGTGGCTCTAAAAACTATCTTCTATGATTTTAGTATAATATAATGAGTCAATAACTAGCCTTAAAATATAAAATCTTGTGGATTACAGACAGGATCGCCTATTTTTTTTTCTTCTTCATGTATTAGTTATGGCCACCATTTAGGGTTAGGGTTACAATAGACACGCGGTCTGTTGTATTCTTACCATTTAGATTAGGACGCTGTGTGTGTGTGTGTGTGTGTGTCTGAGTTCATACCTCTATGTACTTGTAAATGTGCAGAGTGATCCAATCTATGGAGTAGAAGATTAAGCACAGGCCCATGTTGGAAGTGGTGTTGTGCAGGTCTATGAGCAGGTCAACAGCCTCTGCGCTTCCTTTGGGCCCCAGCTGAGCGTTCAGTTCCTGGGCTCGCCTCACCTCATACGGGGTTGACTCTGTTATGGGGGAACTTGGAGCAGCGTAGCGATTTAAGCAGTGGACACAACACAGACTTCTCAAATTTGCAGCGCACAGGACTCACGTGGACAGCTGGCTTACCTCAGCAAGACATCTGTGAAGCAGCGGTTCAGATCCATCTCTGTGTATCGTCTGCCAGCAGCCACGGCTCTTGGATTGGTCTCGACAGTGGTTACAGAAACAGACCCCGCTTTCTCCATCTTCTGTTTCTGCATTTCCCTCACAATGTACACCCCAGTCAACTCATTCCCGTGGGTTCCACCGCAAATGGCGACATTGTGTATTGGTGGGACAGAGGTGCGCTCCATCTGTTGGGCCCAATACAATAATCGTGATGTTAGTTAGGTGTTGGCAGGCATGGAGTCCTTCCAGAAATGGGGCTGGAAAGAGCTAAAGTTTAGCTGGATGACGGTGAGTTAATGATTTGACTAAATAAATGACACAAAAACCTTTAAGTAAACTCAGCAAACATGATCTGCAAGTTTCCAAACAGAAAAGGTCATTCATTAACAAACGGGGCCCAGTATGTTCAACAGTTGATTTTCAAGTGCAACTTTTAATAGACGCTGCCATTTATCCTTTCCTTCCATGTTGGTGTTGGTATAATGAGATACATTGAACACTGTGGAAGTTCAGGAAT